GGAAGGAAGGAAGGAAGGAAGGAAGGAAGGAAGGAAGGAAGGAAGGAAGGAGACAAGAAGCTTTTAGAGAGTAATTATGTGGCTCTTCACCCCATCATCTCTCCAGTGATTCTGAGACATGGCTGAGAAAGGATGCTTCAGAAATAACAACGGCTGAAGGCGAGCAGCTTGATGATGGAACACTTGATGAAGGAGCACTTGATGATGGAGCACTTGATGAAGGAGCACTGCCTCCTTTTGTGATCATAAGTCACTCAGAGCAACACTGTCACATCCACATGCAAGCAATCCCAGTGACCTTTCCCCATGAGCTCTTCTTTTCAGATGTAGTCTATAGTTTTCCTTAGTGTTTTAAAAAGGAAAAGTACAGTACTTTGCACTCAAATTTTATTTGCTTTCAAGTTTCACTCTGGTTTACAAGTAGCTTAGTCAATTAACTGGTGCATTTGGTTTGGCCCTTGGATAGGTAAACTCGACCCCTTTCCAGAGTTGAGCGCAGCCCTGAAGTGAGACAAACCCTTACTGATTCCAAGATTGGACAATACTGCTAAGCACTGTCTGCCAACAGCATGGCTAACATTCTATCCTCATTGCCAACCACTGTTTCACCCAAGCGTATAGTCAGGGGGCTGAGATTGGAGGCTTAGTAGTTTGAAGCCAGTCTATGATACATAGAAGGAGGGGAGGAAAGGAGAGAGGGAGAGAGAGAAGGAGAGAGGGAGAAAGGGAAGGAAGGTGGGAGAGAGGGAGGAAAGAGAAGAAATTGCCCAACTTTCCCACCTCCTACCAATCCCAAAGCAAAAGTAAATGAAATATAGATGAATTCTGAAAGTCACATGAACCAGATACAATTGCTTTCCACCTCGTTATGCAATACTTCCCTTAAAGTGCAGCCTAAGGAAGCAGAAATTCAGAACTCTAACACAGACTTAGAAGTAAGTCACTTAGAGACAAAGATGTTTAGTCAGTGGGAATGCACATTAAGAGAGAAGCCACAAGGGTTGAGGGTAGAGGTTTCACAGTTCCCATCTCTGCAGCTGGTGGAAACGTCATGATTGTTCTGAAGCAGGGCAACCCTACCTAGCATGCAAGACGGAGCTGCCTTCAACACAGGGTTGCTTCCAGGAACACCTCCCTTCAAGCTCCAGTGACTGATGAAGTGTTCAAGTTTCAGTGGAAGGAGGGAAATATCTGCAATACATTTCAGCATTCCCCCCTCCCCACAGGACTGGCCAAGGAGAACATAGATGTGATATGATACAGTGTTGAGAGGGAAACGATGAACAGAGACTGGCAAGAGTCTCTAGCCGTAGTGTTTCTGAGCTTAATAAAGCAAAACCTTTCTTAGTAGTCTCCAGGATTACATATCCCCCCATCTTCTTATGTAAATAAAAAGATATAAGAAACATTGGTTCTGATTTGGGCTTTTGTTTCATTCAGAGAAACTGGAAACTCCTAAGCATCACGTGACTTGATGACAAGGCTCTAAAGCATCTAGAGTCCAACAGGACATGGCCTTGTTATGGCTATGGTGGCTCCAGCCTTAGCCAACAGACACTCATCCCAGGGTTGTCTCTGTTGCTGCTATTCACATTTTATGTTGCTATAGAGGGAAGAAGAAAACACATATTCTTCATGTACGTATAGGTATATATACAACCCTTAGATGAAATCATAAATAACAGTGGAGACAAGAGTCTTCAAACGCAGTGAGAAAATAAATTAATTTATTCCCTGGTTCTTTAGTACATAGCATTCTACTCCAAGTGGCCAGCTGAAGCAATGAGGTATAAAGGAAAGTATTCCCGACTGACTTATCTAGCATCTTCATACAGAACCGGGAGATGAGAATGTATGCCACACATTCTTCTCAGAAGTCAATATCCAGGAGGCCCCCTGCACTATGCACTGTGTCCTCTGAGCAGTAGGAGATAAGGCTCAGAGGGCACTTCCAGGTAGGTGCACATTGTAAAGTCATCATGACTGAGACTGACATGATCTATGTCAGTCTCAGTCTGTCACCACAGAATTTATGGCAGAAGGAGCTAAGGGACCACCATCATCTTCCTTCACCATCCTTCTTAAAGGCGTGTGTGATCTTCCAGGGAACTTCTATCTCTGTCTCTTTCTGGAAGCGCCTCAACTGGTTCAATGGTTTTCGAAAGTCCTGAATTGCAGTGGGCCCTTGCAAGGGAGTAATCATTTCTTTTTAAATCTACAAAGAAAGCAAGATAGTTTTAGTAAATGACTTAGAACACTATGACTCATGCAGGTGGACTGAACTTCATGCTTAGTCAATGAGTTCAGGGAGTCTCTGCTCCCCCAGGCCTTGGGCATATGGATTTCAAACTCTCAACCATATCTAAACCCAGGCTCTCTTGTATCCCATGACTACATGAAACTCTAACTCCATATGCTGTCACTATGTGTGCCACAAGCCACCACCTAGTGGGGAGAGAAGATGTGACTGGCCCAAGTTAAATGAGATCCAGTAAGAAATGGGAACCTTAGGAAGGATCAGAGGGATGGGTTGAAACGGTGGCAAGAAGGCTCCCCTCAGCTCTATGGCTACCTACAAAAGTTTCACCATCTGAAGATCACATCAGATGTTTCCTAAGCCCTGCCTCTTCTGTTTACAAAGGAAAGTTGAAGAAAATGGCAAACGGGATAAGCTTTGGGAGGACTGACTATAGGAAAAATAGCATCAAATGTTACATGCATTCTTTGTGCTGTGATTCACAAGCAGATTTCAGCCTGCAATTGTGAAAGGATTCAGACATTCACCAGCTCCTGTGCCTCCCTGACTTAGAGTTCTGATGGGCCTTAGCCCAGCCCTAACCCCTTCCTGGGTCCCTGATGACCCGCCCAGAGGACACAGTGCTGTGCACTGACCTCTTTGCCCATTCACTGTGAATTCACATCATGGGCAGTTATGAGAGTACAGCTTTCTTCTTCTTCGCTCCCTTAATTCTTTAGCCTTGAGCTAACAGGGCTCCTGGGCTACACACTGTGGGTGATGGTGTTAGGGAACCCAGGATATCACTCAGGGTGAGAGCGTGTAGCTGGGGGTGATGTCTGAAGCCCTGAGCTCAAACTCTGGTACCAGGAGGAAAAATTCATATTTTATTGGTCTACTTTTTAATGTTAAATGGTGATTTTTTTCTAGATTAAAAAAACTAACACGCCGGGCAGTGGTGGTGCACGCCTTTAATCCTAGCACTTGGGAGGCAGAGGCAGGCGGGTTTCTGAGTTCGAGGCCAGCCTGGTCTACAGAGTGAGTTCCAGGACAGCCCGGGCTATAAAGAGAAACCCTGTCTCGAAAAATTTAAAAAAAAAACCCTAATACATATGTATTTTAATATATATTTAATAATATGATCAACATTTATTAAGCATATACATAAACTAAATCTTCACCCCAACTTTGTGACAGATACAATTATCTCTTGCTTACAGATGAAGATGTTAAAGGCCAAAGCCTTATAACCCGTGGAAAGCAGAACATGACTCTACCTGGGTCAAAATTCCAGGTTCCTATGCATTGTCTTAACCTGCCTCTGCCTTAAAAAAGAAAATAAAACATAAAAACTAAAAGGTGTTTCTCATTCTGTTCTCCAAACTAAACATCTTTACTTAATTACCAATAATATGAAAGAGGGTATTTCATTACTTCCATTTCAATATTAATTTTTAAAACTAAGATTTCAGACACCAGAGGGAGAGAGAGAGAGACAGAAACAGAGAGAGACAGAGAGAGACAGAGAGAGACAGAGAGAGACAAACAGACAGACAGACAGACAGACAGAGACAAAGACAGACAGAGACAGAGAGAGACAGAGAGAGACAGAGAGGGACAGAGAGAATGAGAGAATCTGGATGGGTCCTTTAGAAATTCTTGTGGTTTGTAAATTTAAAAATTATTCAAAAATAAAGAAGATAAATGTTTGAGTGAGTAGGCCAGATGAGAGAATGTTAAAAGGAATAAACTTGGTTTTATCCTCAGGAGGGAAAAAAAAAAACTATGTGGTAAGATGGCCCAGCAGGTAAAAGTGCCCGATGCCAAGCTCCATGACCAGAGTTCAATCCCCAGAATCAACATGATGGAGGAAGAAAAGGGACAATGGCTCCCAGCCTTCCATGGCATGCCTACATGGAAACATGAACCCTACATCATACTCAACAATTAACTAGACCCAATGATTGAAAGCAATGAGTAATGTCTCGAGTCTCCCTGGCCCTGAGATGATCAGATATAGTCCTGTGTCTTTGAGAACAGAAGCTGCCCTGTCCAAGCTACAGGTGAGTAATGCCTAAGGATGATGATTCCTGAGTGGATTCCAGGCTGCAACTGTGGGATGATTCAGATATTCACCAGATCCTGCCTCCCATGCCTAGAGTTCTGATATCCCTCAGCCCAGCCCCAACCCCTGCCTGGGTTCCTGATGACCAATGCAGAACACAGGAGTCGTAAGGTGATCTCTTTAGCCATCAGCTATGAGCTCACACCATGAGCAGCTAGGATAGTACAGCCTCCCCCTTTGCTTCTTTGGCTTTCCTCTTCTACGTCTGCCACTGCATGAGGACACACTCTGTTTTCACTGATGGAGGAAAAAAGAACCAGAGGCCTAACTCTAATCCCTTTCCTTTGCTTAGTCTTGCCCACAAAAGCTTCCGTCAGCTCCAACAGAATTAAAAATTGCCCAGTTTTGTTATGGAAGTACATGTGGCTTATAGTGGAGGATAATTTTTTTCTAATTTCTAGTTCAGGGTATGACTTTTGAGAGAGAGAGAGAGAGAGAGAGAGAGAGAGAGAGAGAGAGAGAGAGAGAGAGAGA